TCTATCCTGATACTCGGACCAAAATAATTTATTTATTGATGAGATGTGGAATTGCAACGAAATAGCGAGATCTTTTGATTTCCGAAATATCGCCAACTGTATCCAGATTGTTGATCTATATAAAGGCCTTATCAAAAAACTTAAAGCCCGTCAAAAGACTATAAAATTGGCCCTTGGCATTGCTGAAACCAACGATCATGGTATATGTCAAAGTATAGCTGTCTGTTGAAAATCTACGGTATTAAAATCATACACCAAAGATAAGTCAAACGACAAATTATATGTCACTATATTATAGCTACATGTCTTTCAATGAGCACTCTTTAGTAGTGTTCACCACCTTCATAAATTTTGTAAACAGCTTTCGTTTTGACATGAATTTGACGTGAAATTTAAATTTTTGCTTTGTGAAATAGAATACCGTTATTTCTAATGGACAGCTTGCATCGTCTATATCATATCCAGGATTGCTTGTGTGTAAACGCATTAATATCACTATATGACACTATAAAATAAATATAAGTAGAAAATGATTAATGAATTAGAGATAAACAGGTGATTCACAATGAAAACCTTAAAAATGTTAGTGGAAGTAGAAAACTCGAAAATTTATGTCTATTCGTATGACGCCAATGACGGTCTGCGCATCTGACACTGTAAATTTGTGATATAGATTATAGTATGTTAACACAATATAATGATTAATAGAGACCAAGAAAAAGGCTAAAGTCTTACTATAATTACCGAATACGAATTATGTACTAAATCCAGATAATTATGTACTATATGCCACAATTTATCCTGGGCAGATCATATTGAGAAAATTGTTGTTAAAGCTAACAGGACCCTTGGGCTAATGAAAAGGATTTTCCGTGATTTGCAAGATATACAAACTAGAAAAATAATATACTGTGCTCTTGTACGACCCAAGCTGGAATATGGTAGTAGTCTTTGGTCGCCTTACATCAAGAAATACGCGAAATTAATTGAAAATGTCCAGAGAAGAGCTACCAAGTTTATTCTAAACTATCCTGAAGATATGAAGTATATTGATAGATTGATAAAACTAAACTTATTGCCTTTAGAACACCGTAGACAAATTTCAGACTTAACATTTTTCTTTAAATTGAGAAATGGCTTGGTAACCACCGACATTAATAAATTTTTGACAGTGTTTGAGCCCGGGTATCGAACACGTAATTATGACATAAATAACTATAATCTAATTATAAAGCATAAGCAAGATTATTACAGGAAATCTTACTTCATAAGAACAGCCGAACTCTGGAACACTTTGCCATCTCAGGTGAAACAGTGCGAATCCATTCGAACATTCAAGCCTGCCATTTATAACTTTTATTCATCTAAGTGTTTGGACTATTGTCCTCCTTAGTATAGTATTACCTACTCGCTTATTTATTTATTTGATTTTATAATTTATTGTTGTTTCTCCGATATTTTTGGAGTTTTATGTAAAGGGGTTTTGTTGCAATTGGGACGCAAGTCCTGTCCAAACTCCTGTCATATACTTATAATTATGATATTATATGTAATATATGGCAAATTCATTAAACTTAAACTAAACTAAACCGCAGTTACTAATGCTACTATCAATTGCAAGAAGAAGGTATTAGATTTCACGACAGCACTATCCTCATTGGTTGAAACTTGAAAGCTCAATCATGCGGCGCGCGAATATTCAAATATTTCGGCTTCATGGCTGCCTCGTACCCAGGCGCTTTAAATAATTACAATACATGAAGTATTCAGGTAGGCAGGCGACGCGCGAAGGGGCTGTTGGGAAGGGTGCATGCTGGGGAGCGCCTGGCAGTTCTTGTATACTGTCATGGCGGGAAAACATGGAATTTAATACAAAAAGTTACCATATCGTCATATTCGCTGTGTGTAAAACCTTACTTTGTGATGAAGAGTTGAATTGAACGCCATTGGCAAATAATAATACATTTGTAGATGTTCTATGACATGCAAAATGCGCGAAAAATTATATGAGTATTAAAATAACATGACAAGTTAAGCGTGCGAATATTTCGAATATGTCATTCGGTATAATACATGGAGAATAACAGAATGCTATCAGTTGCTTAGTATAAAACAGTAACAGAGAAATTATTAGAAAGTCATATAATTGCTTTTGTATTAATAACTTCTTTAGCTGAAGGCTCGATCAGTCGATCACAATGCCAATGGCAATTTCTATTAAATGTATGTAAACAAAAGCCCAAGTAAATAAAAATTCACAGCCGTAAAGTTTGAAATATTTCTTACAACAGTGCAATTTTATAGTCTGTACCTTTATATAGTTATAGCTTACAAATCTAGTTCCTGCAAGTCTAATTCTTCAACGCTTCGGTTGTTGACATGTTAATACTGGAATTTCCATGGACTTTAAATAAGGCATATGTCATATATACCAAGAATAACAGCATGAATTCACGCCCAGATGACGGAAGAATATTAACATTAGTCAATTCAACAAAAACAAGTAGCAAAAAATCGTAAACGACAACGAAATATCACAACTTGCAAGAAATCGTACAAATTTGCAAGAAATCGACCAAGAACTGCCAGGCGTCTCGCAGTTCAAGTGCACTCTCCCATCAGCCCCTTCGCCATCTCTCCCCACTACAATACTTCATGTAAACTCGTCATATGCGCATCACTGTTTTTTTACAAAGAGACGCCTGGGTACGAGGCAGCCATACCTCTAAAATCACTCTCGATATAGTCGGTACAAAGTAAACAAATTCTGTTTTAATGCCCTTAGAATATTGATAAATAGTAAAATAAGTTACCTGCATTGGCATTATAAACGCAGTCTAGTGACTATACCGTCTACCAAGTCCAAATTTGGATCCATTTTCAAATTTTACATGCATAAATCTTTGTGAAAGCGAATTCAGACCGACTATAAGCCACACTGTATTAATTTATTAACCGTAAGTTCTTCGCTATGTCGTTATGACCGTTGTGTGCCATCGATATAATGGTTGAATCGATTTCCATTACCAGTTCTGTTTATATTCTGCCGGACTAGACTTTGGAATATGAACACACACGCATGGAAACTCAGAATTGAAATTAAGATTATGAATCAAGCTCAACCAATCAGGAAGTAACAATTGACAACAGAACATATGTTTGATGACAACCTCCTCTGAGTTGTTTCAACGCGGTGAGGTCAAATTTCGAAGTATGGCCAGACTGATCGTTATACTATTTTGCAAATTTATGTTGTCGATACAAGAGAAAGACTAAATCAGACAGAGAGCTATGGGATATGAATTGAGATACGCCAGTAAGATGAAACGCGCCACCAGGTAAATCATAGTTCTATTTATCATAAATTGTGTATTACGAGAATTATGAATTAGTAATTTTAGTATGTTGCGAATATATTAATGCGCGCATTTCGCTAAACCAATACGTGACAACTGCAGATCATTTGCGGTTTGCACTGATATTAATTATAACCATTGTACCGCACTTATTTACAACGTATACCAGCTTATTATTGGCTCTATTATTACTTTAATAGATCTTGACCACCAACAAAACTCTGACTGAATCATACAGGAGCGTTATCTCTTAAAACTTGAATTGCACTGATTTTATATCAATTTAAGACAATTTTCATTCGTACGTACTACGTTGTGGAGCGTGTACATATATAGGCCCTTCAAGACCTTCAAATGCATTACACTTCATTTAACTATAGTAAATTATCTCTGGGTTAAGTTTATTTTCAACGCGTCGACACCTTATTCATATTTTTTCTAGTTCATTATTGTTTATAGCCACTGTACTTGCAATAGCATGGCTAGTCAGAAATATTTAGTGTGAATATTCAACTACACTCATGCTGTGAAGATATATGAAAAAACGACAACCTTGCCGCTTAGCTATGTCACTGGATATAATGGTTGGTTAATATTATATTAAGATTTTGACAAACTCGAACCGATTTATTTCGCTGTCTGCAATTCTGCTATAGCAAATTTATCTGCTTGGTTTCGCTGTCTGAAATTCAGCTAGTAGCCTACCTAAAATTAATTTCAAAATATATTTTGACAAGCTCAAACCGACTTCGGTGTCTGAAATTCAGCTACAGTGTACCTAGCCTATCTTTAGGTGGTATTTATATATGATTATTTTGGCAAACTTAAACCGTTTTCGGTGTCTGAAATTCAGACACCGAATTTATCTCAGTCTGCATGTTGGTATTTATATATGATTTTGACAAACTAAAACCGTTTTCGGTGTCTGAAATTCAGACACCGAATTTATCTCATTCTGCATGGTTGGTATTTATATATGATTTTGACAAACTCAAACCGTTTTCGGTATCTGAAATTCAGACACCGAATTTATCTCAGTCTGCATGGTTGGTATTTATATATGATTTTGACAAACTCAAACCGTTTTCGGTGTCTGAAATTCAGACAACAAATTTATCTCAGTCTGCATGGTTGGTATTTATATATGATTTTGACAAACTCAAACCGTTTTCGGTGTCTGAAATTCAGACACCCAAATTTATCTCAGTCTGCATGGTTGGTATTTACATATGATTTTGACAAACTCAAACCGTTTTCGGTGTCTGAAATTCAGACACCCAAATTTATCTCAGTCTGCATGGTTGGTATTTATATATGATTTTGACAAACTCAAACCGTTTTCGGTGTCTGAAATTCAGACACCCAAATTTATCTCAGTCTGCATGGTTGATGATTTTGACAAAGTCAAACCGTTTTCGGTGTCTGAAATTCAGACACCCAAATTTATCTCAGTCTGCATGGTTGATGATTTTGACAAACTCAAACCGTTTTCGGTGTCTGAAATTCAGACACCCAAATTTATCTCAGTCTGTATGGTTGGTATTTATATATGATTTTGACAAACTCAAACCGTTTTCGGTGTCTGAAATTCAGACACCCAAATTTATCTCAGTCTGTGTGGTATTTATATATGATTTTGACAAACTCAAACCGTTTTCGGTGTCTGAAATTCAGACACCGAATTTATCTCTTACAATATATTCACTATACAGTATTTTTTGAAGATTGTAAAAATCTATTTTATAAATAAGGGATTTTGAGGGAATCTTAAAGGTTGACATAAAATTCTGTGATTTTTGAGGAGGGAAATTAACCTTTCTTCCAAATTTATAAATATTATTTGATTTTAAGGTGGAAATATATAAAGTTTGCAAAAATGTACAAAACAACTACTAAAAGCAGCAGTAAATTTTCTATTCCGCAAAATTGAAATAAATTATTTTTACACATTTTTACCAAAAACGAATTTCTCTTGCAATATTAGAGGAAAATTCTAGTTATTTAATGTATTTAGTTAAATTGTGCAGAAAAATTGGTCAAATTCTGCAAAATTAAGGATATTTTTTGTGAATTTGGTAGCTTGGAATTATTGAAAATAGTTTGGAACGCGTTATATATATATATATATATATATATATATATATATATATATATATATATATATATATATATATATATATATATATATATATATATATATATATATATGTTAAGTTGTGTAATATATATGTAGTATATATTTCATAATTTCCAGTCTTAAATCCGTCTGACCGTGTAGCTCAGTTGGTAGAGCGTCGATCTAGTAATTCGAAGGTCGCGGGTTCAAGACCCAGCCGCGGCAGACAACATCTTTCTGCTTGCGCTGGGTATGGAAATTATATAATACACACTCTAGAACATTTTCATCTTAATATATATATATATATATATATATATATATATATATATATATATATATATATATATATATATATATATATATATATATATATATATATATATATATATATATATATATATATAACTACAGACGGTACCGTTTCGGCCTAATGGGCCTCATCAGTGTAGTGCTA